AATCAAATCAAGCTTTTAGCTGAAAATAATGGATAAATAATTGCAATAAAGCTAGCTAAGGCTATGAAGAAGATTGTGTACATTTTCTAAATCGAGACCTATCAGTTAAATTGCCTAATAATTAAAACAATAAAATTTAAGTTTATTAACTAGCAGTATGAATTAGCAAAGGAAAACTGTTAGCTAGCTGCTAGACAAATGCACTAAGTTAGTAACGGATAGTAAACTGAGCAGCAGCTAAAAGTAGTTTATAATAACAGGTTATTACTTATAGACAGAAAGAAATAGTTTTTAGTAAGCTGAAAGTAATCTGCTGCTTTAAAATGAATTTTGATAGACAGACTTAACAATGAAAGGTGCAGTTGAAGAACAGCCTTTACAGGCCAATGCAGTCTGTGCTCACCATAGCTGGGAATTCTGATAATAGTGAAGAGGATCTCGTTCTCTGGTGTGTCCTGATCGAGGACGCTGAGAGACGAGTTGGTGATGACAACTCCAGAGTTTTCCTCTATATGGATGCTGCTGACGGACACCACCGGCTCTTTGTCCTCTTTACTCTGCTGAAAGACAATAAAATAAAGGCATCTTTTATTATTTGTGGAATAACTACACTGTTCCTCACCAACAGAACACCAGCTTCACAAAGCAGATCTCAAACAGTTTCTGTTAAATTATTTTAAGTAATGGCAGATTATTCCGGTTTCTGCTGATTTTATTTTTATTTGTGATGTGGTCCAGTTTTTGGTTTCTGTCCTGATGCTTTGACATCTTCCAAGGTCTACTCAAACATTTTGCTTGTATTCGCTTCAAAATTTAGACACAGGCGACCAGGAATAACCAGCATATTTTACCAGAGATGTATAATCTTTTCAGGTCCCTTGTTGGGGAGATGTTTTCCTTCAGTGAAGTGGTGTGTCTGCAGACTTTCCCTTAACTGCAGACTCGTTGGCATATTCAGATTTTTGTCTTATAAATGCAGATTACAATGTGGTTCTGTTTGGTTTGTTTCACAAAGCCACAATGTTCAGGTGTTAAATATAACGGTTTTGTGACATATCTGTGGTTTGTTATTGCCAACAAAGTAATAAAGCAGAAGCAGTCCTCCTGGTGTGGGGATTTCATATTTTTTGCCAGGGGTTGTATACTACCACCTCTACATTAATACACACCGTGAAAGATTTATTATATACAGGTCACGTGTTCAAATACACACACTCAACAAACTTAACAGCTCACCGACAGCCCCATCAATCCAACTCAAGATCTAAAACAGGCTTAAGTGATGGATTTGGATGCTCAGTTTGTTTATGTGTTTATGAAGGAGAAAAAAAACAGGGACAGCCTGAGGCCATAGCAGTTTTTCCTTGGAGGAAGCCTTGTGCTGCTCAAGGACAGCAGTAAAAAAGAAAAGGAAAAGCTGAGTAAGACCTCTTTTTTTTTTAAATTACTAATAGAGCGTGGAGCTGTTAAGACCTTGTTTCATCTCTTTTCATCAGCACAGACACCACTTAATCAGGGTGTGCACCAGCTTCAATTTTTAAAAAGTGTTTTTGGTCTTTTTCAAGCTTTTATCGTCTTCTTTTGAAGAAACGAAAGCATCAACAGGGGCGACTTATCTAACTGAAACTAATTAAACTTGGTAATTTGGACTGATGGAGGTACAGGGTGAAGTGCAACTGTTTCCAAAAGGAAGCATTACAGGCATAAGACTGAAAAATGTGTTACCTATAAAACAATGGTTTGAAACTGACAGACAGGATGTGAACTTTACCTCAGATCTAGAATATTATGCAGTCCTGTGAAAAACTAAGCACATACCACGATTCAATAGCTTCATTTAGTAGCTGTTAAAGGCTTGCTTGAAATTATTGACATGTTAGACGAGTCATTTTAAGCCAAGCTTTAGCTGTCAGCAGTCAGATGACCTGACATTTGACTCTAAAATACTTTGGTATTGAATTCATGGCTGACTCAATGTCCAGGGTCCTCTGGGTCCAAAACGAGCCCAAGTTATCGTCCCTCCACCACTGAGCTGACAGTTGGTAAGAGGTCTTTGTGCTCATATGCTGCGATGGTTTTCACTCGTGGTGCAGTGCATCATGGTCAAACATCTCCGCTCTGGTCTCCCCTGATCAAAGGATTTTGTGGTTCGTCCAGATGCAACTTTGCAAACCTGAACCGTGATGCCAGGATGGTCTCTTTAGAGAGAAAATGCTTTTTCCTGGTAACATTTCTAGTAAGCAATTCTTGTTCAGTCTTTCTGAGAGTGTAAACTTTAACACTATCATAAACTTAAACATTTAACATACTAACTGTGTAGTGTAAGATTGAGCTCTCAGTTTCTTGTAATTTCTCTGAGCATATGGGTGAATTTATTGGAATATCCTCTCCGACAATTGTTTACTTGTGAAACGTTTGGGAATGGCCTTAAAACTCTTCCTAGATTCATAAGCTGATGTCTTTCCTCCTAAACACACCTACAGACCAGCAAACTGCCAAAATATCCACCATTATAGAGGCGCTCACACTTGCTGATGATCAATTAACCGAGTGCATTTGATTACCAGCACTTGACTATGACTTACCCTGTTAATTCCCATGGACGCAATAAGGATATAGTTAGTTTTTTACGTCTGTGGTTAGAAATGAATTTTGCTGAGAAATAAAACCATTTCTGTGCTAACCTAGCTAACTGATAACTGTCCTCCCTCTTCTTCATCACATTTGGCTAAAAATAACACAAACAAAATAGTAATGCCTTGAGACGGCAAAATGGGGCTTCTCAAACCAAGGCGTTGTGTCATTGTGGTTACTTCTGCCATAGAAATAAAGGAAAGAGGAACGGTATATTTAACACAAACACCTTCAAAAATAAAGAGTTGAAACAAAATCGTCAAAGAAAAACAAACTTTCTTACACATTCTTAATTATACATTAATAAATGTCACTTATAATGATAGTACTACAAGATTTAGTAGTAGTAGCTTTTTAGTTTTTCCTTACCTGGATGTCAATTTCCACACTGAAAGCTTCCGTCTGACTGAGCCCGTCGCTGATGTAGACGCTGAAGATGTCCTGCTTGGTTTGAGGTGTAAGCTGGCTCTCCTGGACGTAAGAGATATGGCCAGATGTAAGGTCCTCCACAGAGAAAGGCACGTCAGGGGTGACGACGTGTGAGCCGCCAACAGAGCTTCCTGATTGACGAGAGAACAGAGGAAGAGATGCAATTTAGAAAACAAAGAGCACTGCATTCAGGAGATGCAGGAGAGCCGCCTTTGTCCCCAAAGCCACTCTGCTTTTTAACTCCAGCAGATAAACCATTTCCCGCACCAGAAACATAAATTTCCTTCAGGATTAATAAAGTATTCTGATTCTCTTTTTATACTACCGACACTTTATTCACTCCTAGTCACTTACAGTTATTTATTCACCTCCAGCCTGTTCTCACTCCCGAGGCGTAACATGCCGACGTTTTGTCACGTCCCGCGGCGTTCCTCAGGAACGCGAAAGGAGACCTTCGGCGTTCTTATGGTACGCGGCGGGTTATGGCTGAAATCCAGTGCAATGACGCTCCCGCGGGAATAGACGTTCCAGCCCTGTATTCCAGCCCTAAACCTAACCTTATCCCTAGCCCTAACTATAACCTTATCCCTAGCCCTAACCAGGACTTTAATGACGTTAAATAGCGTGTTTGTAAGCGATTTGAAGAAAAAGAGCGAACATGTGTAGATTCAGTCCAGACGGTTCTCATATTTCCTAATTTTTCCGAGGTCGTCATTTAGGAACGTGGTGGGTAGCCGAAAACGTAATATGTTGATATTTGTCACCTAGCGTCAAATGTTACGCTTTGGGAGTGAGAACGTGTGTTGTCACCTCTCAGTCACTTTAATTTTAAACTGTGTCATTTTAAACTGTATATTCTGTGTATTTATTATCTCACTCTTATTGCCTGTTCTTATTGTTCTTATCTTCAACGTTATGCTGCTCCGTTGTATGTTAATTGCCCCTTGGAGATCAATAAAGTCTTTCTGATTCTGATTCAAATTCAAAGTGCACAAAAGAATTTTATTCATTAAATCAATCTTCTTTCTTTTAGTGTAAAAATTATGATTTGTCCCGTCGTCCGGTTGTGGCTACACACTGAAAAAAGCCCTTTCTACACTGGAACATTTATTATACTGCAACAAAGAACTCATAAACCTCTCAGGTGACCAGTTAGCAGGCCATCACTTATATCCTCTGACAGCTGCAATGACAGCAATATTTGTCTTCTCCATCCCATCAGGCTTTTCATTTGACTTCAGCCGGAACTGTCTGGTAGTTTAGATGCATGGACGGTCTTTACAATTCTCCAGAAAAGCACACTTTGGCTGTGATGACACGACCTGGCTGTCCTCAGGTTGAAGGAGAGTCGCCTTGAATACTTAACATCAACCTTGAAATCTCTGAAGTTTGAGAGAAAGTATGAGTGTCTTTCTCGCAGAAGACGGATGACTCCGCACTGAGCTGAGTCAGGGCTCTGGAGGGAATAGCTGGTGTGTGTGTACTTGTATTTACTTTAGTGTATGCGTGTAAATCAGGCCCAACAGTAAATCGCATCACATCACATCGCCTCATCTGCCTGTTTTACGGTGAGCATCGGGAGTCTCTTATCTGAGCGGGAACCCTCACAGAAGTGTAATCAAAACAGGAAATCACCTGAAGCCTCCGGGGAATTACAATTTTTCCAGAATCATTTTTTTTGGTTGTTCTGTTCACACACGTGGCATCTGCTGATCTCAGATTCACAGCACCACTCCTGCAATCACGCCACTGACATCTCTGTGCATCGCTGACTGAACAAGGCTCTGAAAAGGAATGTGGGTCGAAAACAGATCCAGTTGTTCAGGAACGTGATGCAGAGAATTAGCAGGCTGGAATATTAATCCCAGAATTGTTTTTTATTAAATTTCATGAATTTTATTTTAGGATTAATTATAGTTACAGATGATTCTACACTAATGGGATCTGAATTATTATATTCCATCCCTGTCATGGTCCTGGGCCATGTTGGCCCAGCATTCTTAGTTTTCTTATTATTTTGTATTTTGTTCCTTATGCCGTGGTTCCTAGGTTCTGTTAAAGATGTTCCTTATTTGATTACCCCTTGTGTGCCCCTCTGTGTACCTGTGAGCCCTCGTTTCCCCTCCTTGTGTTCCATTTAATGTTTTCCCCAGCCCGTTATGTCTGTGCTCTCCCCGTGCTCGCTCTCCTCCTGTCTGAACCTCTGTGTACTTCCTGTTTTACTTTGACAGTCTCTCGTCAGTATGCGTCATGCTGTGTTCACTCCTGCCCTGTCTCGTTACGATAATCTGTGTCAGCTGTGTTCCCCGTGTGCTCCCACTTCCCTCGTTAACCCTCTGTGTATTTATGTCCATGTCTCCCTCAGTTCAGGGTCGCGTCGTCAATGTCTCCTCCCCAAACCTGTGTGGCTTTCTGTGTTCCCTCGGTCTTCTGTTAGTATTCCCAGTTTAGTTCTGTTTCGTGGTAAGGCCTGCAATAAAGCAGTGATTTTGAGTTCAGTTCCTGTCTCCGTGAGTTTTGCGTTTGGGTCCTCATCTGCCTCCACACAGCCAGTTCATGACAATCCCTACTTCTCTTTTAATGCTGGACTCATAAAAGCACGATTATGAACTATCCCAAATGATGTGGGGCATTTACTCTTGTTCGATGATGAAAATAAGAAAATGGGTCAAACCATCTATAGGTACTAACACTGCTCTCTTTTGCAGGCTGTAGACTTATTTCCTCTATGAAGTTGGATAGCACAACATGATTCAGTGGAGACTGGTTCACTTTTGGAGCCAGCCTCAAGTGGCACCAAGAGGAACTGCAGGTTTGGCACTTTTATATCAACTTAATTTTTTTTAGCCTTCAAAATTTCTGCTTACAGTATCTAAGGCAGCGGTCCCCAAGCTTTTTTGCGCCACGATTTAATGTCAGACAATATCTTCACGGACCGGCCATTAAGGTGTCGCAGATAAATACAACAAAATAAAATGACACGACCAAGACAAAAACTATGTATTCTGTAAATATGATAATAAACGCGATTTCACTGTGTAATTGTGTAACTTTATTAGCAGCGTCCTCCTGAAATGCGCTGACAACATTAAGAGTAACATCCTCCTCTCTGCCCTTAATGCTCTCTGGTTGCTACGGTAACCATGGTGGTAAATATTTTTTTCAAAATAAGACACAGCAGACGATAAAAACATTGAAAACCACAAATTTCACACCCGAGCCTCAACTCTCTCGGCCCGGTACCGGTCCGTGGCCCGGGGGTTGGGGACCGCTGATCTAAGGAGTTTAAATAATCACGGGAGTGAGTAATCAGAATAATCCATCCATCCGTTTTCTGCCACTTATCTGAGTCTTACACAGGGGGAGCAACTGGGGCTGGAACACTGAGGCATTCCCAAACCAGCTGTACCATCATTTTAGACAGAAAAGACCAACAATCAGACAATCTGCTACGAACAGCAACTGGTGATGGTGGGAAAAAATAAAGGAAGAAACCACCGACAGAACCAGGAAGGGAGTCACTTTTGTCTCTTTGCATTTCCTTTCCTGACATCTACAGAGAAAGACGAACACAAGGAGACAAAGCGGCATGTAAACAGATGTGGAGTGACAAAGATGGGCTGGGAGTTGTTTAGTTTTCTTCTAGGACCTCAGGGGCCAAAATGACATTGGCCGTATTCCTTCCATGTCAGCTTTATATTAAAGTAACTATTTAAATTCAAATTGGAAAATGTCTATACTGCATTGCAGTACGTGTGCTAATCACCAAACTATTATGTATTTTGTTAAGGGAAAAGCCATTTCATGCATAAACACTGCCTATGTGTGAGATTTTTGTTTTTTCCATGTGCATGTTTTGAATTGCTGGATTCATGCAAATGCACAACATCGGCATGCGAGTCAGTGTCTTTGGTGTGATGGTGCATCTGCATATCAACATTAAAAAAACCTGTGCATGTTGGTTTTGTTGCCAGCACACTGACGGTGACACTGACTGGCCTCCCCTGTGCCCCGGTGACAGCAGAAATCCCATCACCCGGCACCGCTGATGCTGCTGAATACCAACGACTCCAGCTGCCATCAAGGACGGGCCGCCGGGACACGGAGAGAAAAGATTGGCGCCAGCTGGTTATCTACAGCTACAGACACTATAAATATCTGACCCTACACATTTATCCTTCATTATGTCTGCAGACAATGTATAATAGAGAAGGCCAATTATGGTGAATAAATAAATGGTAAATGGTCTGTATTTGTATAGCGTCTTACTAGTCCCCAAAGCGCTTTACATATCCAGTCATTCACACATTCACACACTGGTGATGGCAGCTGCATTGTAGCCACAGCCGCCCTGGGGTGCACTGACAGAGGCGAGGCTGCCGGACACTGGCGCCACCGGGCCCTCTGACCACCACCAGTAGGTGGTAGGTGAAGTGTCTTGCCCAAGGACACAACGATCGAGACTATCCAAGCCGGGGCTCGAACCGGCAACCTTCCAATTACAAGGCGAACTCCCAACTCTTGAGCCACGATCGCCCCAATTATCTTATTATTATTACAACTATGGCTGCACACCCATTCAAAATGAACAGTTTCTTTACATATGCAGATCAGTATGATGACTTTCTGCTCTTAACTGCTAAAATCCGACCAACAATGTGATACGATTTACTGGTTTTAATGAGATTTTATTTTTACAGCGAGCTGAACTTCTAAAGGTCAAAGGTTTCTTCTTGGATCTGCCTTATTCTGCGTATCCCATGGAGTAAATCCATGTTTTCTAAATGCATTGCAGTATTCAGGTCATTTACTGCGGGTTTTGCATGCAGTCGATATCCTGAATGATGCACATCATGCAACTCCAGATGATTTCATTGAGTCTGTTACAGCAACTGTGTCACACAGTACATGGATGCAGCTCTCTAACCAAGGCTGATAGTCCATTCCCATCCACTTATCCTTTTCAGGGTCACAGGGGGCTGGAGACTATCCCAGCTGTCTTGGGGCGAGAGGCGGGGTACACCCTGGACAGGTCGCCAGTCTGTCGCAGGACTAACACATAGACAAAGACATGGGCAATTTAGAGTTTCCAATTAACCTATCCTGTGGGAGGAAGCTGGAGTACCCGGGGAGAACCCACACAAACACAAGGAGAACATGCAAACTCCACAAAGAAAGATGGTGGAATTGAACTCAGGACCTTCTTGCTGTGAGGCAACAGTGCTAACCACCGTGCTGCACGTGGGCATGATGAGCAGGGTTGATAGTGTCAGCTATAATTTAACTTTAATAATTTAAATAATAACCTAAATGCTGAAGCTTTAAAATATGTCCCAAACCAATAGATCATCTTTTATTTAAAGGCTCTGCTTGGACCCAAATAGTCTGAGGATGTGCTTGTTAAGGCTTCAGAAACACAGAATATTCCCCTTCAACACTAAAGTTCTACCTTTTGAAACATGTTGGTTGAAGCAGTAAGACTGATTGCTCAGGAAATACACATTTCTCCCTAGTGACCAGATATTGCCAGGGGGTTGCCAATCTGTCTCAAAGCCTGTGTGACTGAGGCGTGTAGGTCAGATCGTAAAATAACTTTTAAATCACAATCCCACCCTGCTTTATCATGTTTTTGGACACTAATCAGAACCATATTTTATAAAATAAACATTCTAAAACTAGAGACTGAGACCATATGCTCATCAGGAAAATGTTTACTGAGAGTTTGGATTAAAGCAGCCAACTTACTTACACCCGTAATTGTCTTTGCAACCAGAGAAGTCACCTTGGCCATCAGAAAGAGAAGAAAGCATAAGATCCACTTTTCCCTAAGCTACGCCCAGCTTTGATTACAACCTGTTCTTGCTAATGTGGGCTCATAATGTCACATTTGCATACAAGCATGATTTCTTCTGGCTGAAAAAAGAAGAAAGCCAAAAACAAGATGGTAACAGACAAAATACTAAAAACAAGGCTTCACAATCCAGTGGCTGACGTCACCGCTCTGTCTAGTTTTATATATAGAGCAAAATTACAATTACAGCAAGATATACCATTTTCATTATTCATTCTCAATATGACTTTTCTTCCTACTGTGTTTATATCTATTTCATTTCATGTTGTTTCAGCTTCTGCACTTGCAACGTTACAGTTTCCCCAGAGGGAATCAGTTCCTCTTCAACTCTTGTCACCTTTTTCATTTTTCCAAGCGCTTCCTCTCGGGAGCAGAAGAAAGAGCAGCAGTAGTTGAGTGAGCCTCAACATTGTGAAACTTCAACAATTGCCCCATCTGTACCTGGCTATCTGGCGGCTCTAATCCACAGCACAATCAAGCCGAGACAGATGGCACTGGTACCGCGGGGAGTTCACCCGGCATTGTGTGCACAGGAATGTGACGCAAATTGAAATGTGAAAATTATTCAGAGTAACAGTTGCAGTTTGTCACATCATGAGCCAAAGTCAATTCAGCTTCCTGCAACAGTGACCACACTCCAAAATATCTGCATACCGTCACACTTCTCACCTCTCCTGGTGTTCTCAAGAAAACCATATTTAGGAGGGCTGACGAGCCAAATCAGCAGGTCCTTCGGGGGCGTGTCCACATGTGACACTGTGATGTCATTGGTAGACAGCTGTACACGACCGCCTTCCTCGACCTAGACATGGATAATAAGCAAAAATAAATTATTTAATTGGGAGATCCTCATGCATAATGGACCTTCCATGACCTTCCAAGCTATATAGTTTATGTCTTCCATATTTCCAACTATATCCATAATCACATACTGTGTATGCTACCATTGTATATAGTGTATTATCATACTTTTTTTCATTGATTGTACTTATTTGTATTTTTGTATTTCTGTCATATATCTGTACCTGAGCTGAGGTGACGCAAAAATTTCCCCGTTGTGGGATCAATAAAGTCTTATCTTATCTTATCTAGTTTTCTCACTTGAGTCTAAAGCAGCGGTCCCCAACCCCCGGTCCGTGAGTCGTTTGGTACCAGGCCACGAGAGTTGAGGCTCAGGTGTGAAATGTGTGGTTTTCAGGGTTTTTATCGGTTTTTCAGCGTTATTTTGTTATTGTTTTGATCGTTAACTCTGTTTTCCTGGGTCTTTTCACGTGTGTTATGAATAAATCTTCTTTTTTTCGGCACCGGTAGTAGTTTTATTTTGTTGTATTTATCCGCGACACCTTAAAGGCCGGTCCGTGAAAATATTGTCGGGTGTAAACTGGTCCGTGGCGCAAAAAAGGTTGGGGACCGCTGATCTAAAGTATAGTTCACTACAATATAGTCTGTTTAATATTTTAATCATATTATATATTTAAAGCTCTGAGAAAACTCAGAGTGGGCTCATAAAAAAATGAGAATCTCAACTCCAGAAAAACATATCCCCTTTCTACATTTGAACATGATTAAAAACTCACAATAACTGGAAATTCAAATCTTTACAAGACCCTTGAAGGATGAGTACACAGTAGATGTTAAATTATTTAGTGCTCCGTGAGGCTTTTTCTCTTTTCTGCCTTTATTGTATTCTTTTAATTTACCCAGAAACAAGACAAGCTGTGAACCCACAGAAGAGGTCCCACTTTGAGATGTATTGGCTGACCCAGAAAATTTCTCCCCACACAGCCACGAAATAAATAGATCCAAGAACGAGACATTTCTTGGGGCGAGATTTGACTTCGTATCCTTGATGAACGGTGGAATTTGTGGAGGGACATCATATCCCAGGTACAGCCTGCAGATGCGGCAAAGCTCTTTCTCTTATCGTATTGTTATCTTGCAGTGAAAGACAGGAAGTGCACATTTCTTTAGTGTAACACAATGAGACTGACAAATGTCCACACACATACACAGGGGAGAATGTGTTAAATATAAAAGCATGCTGATGCCATATTCTGCTGCATTTATATTAGCCCCTGGACAGTGACAGTGCATACCTTTACCCTGATCCATGAGCCTGTAATTTGTGGACTTGAATGTCCAGTTAGCTCAGCAGGACAGAACAAAGCAAGCAGAAGTAGAGGAGTACGTATCTGTTATTCCCACTCACAGAGGACAATACTCAAACATTATTATACTTTCAATTTGGAGCCCTCAAGCAATCTGATGGAGATCATGTGACAGGATTCCCTCGCTTCTTTTGTCTCAAATATAAAACAGGTACATTAAATATGATTTGATGCTTAACTTAAGATATTCTTCTGACTAAAGGTAAATATTGTTTCAGCTGCCTGCTGTGCGCACCTCCGTTAACCCTTTAAGACCTACCATAGAACCAAGTCCGCCAGAGCTTATATTATATGTTTACATGCTGTGGAGCCATTT